TGGGTACTACGGGATCGAGTCTCCGAGCCATGAGACAACGTGTAGCAACGGTCCCGATACTGATAGTAGCCGGCCATACAAATGCCTGAGTTTAATTTCAGTACGTTTCCATTTTCTCCCGATGTTGGCGCAGTGGTCCCTAAAACAAAAGATTCGAAAGAGAGGAACAGGTGACTGATGAATGGGTGGGGGAATCCGGTTGTTAGTCAGTCAGTTAGTCGAATTAATTTTGTTTGCGTGTGCCACGACTATGCAGCGATGCAAGTTTAACGAGGAAAATGCAATCTCTGTAGCTTTGTAAATTTAGGGTGCCCCGGTATCAACTGAACACGTCTCGATGTGTATCTAAGATATTCGGGTATATAGACCTTCTGATACTTGGTGGACAGAAAATTCATAGTGGGACTGCTTGACCAGATTATACAACCTCCATTTGACTAACCAATGAAAGCTTGTTCCAGGAGAGTAACCTTCAACTCGGATTCCAAACACCCCAAACCCGGGGTGTAAGACCTTTATAACCGCACCATTCCTCGGTAAAAACCTGGGTGTCAACATCGAAATTCACCTTTCTGGTTGATCGCTATAATGCTCATTAGCAGGTTGGGTACCTTGCGTAGTTGACCACATCCGCATCGGTCTATTATTCACAGCGTCCGGGAGCAATTGCGAACTACGAAATCCGGTCCCCGGCCTAGATTCCATACCCGAAGGCTCCGAACAAAAGTCACTTGAGACAGCTAGGCCAACCGGGGAGTATTAGAAAACATGACTAACTTTGTTGTCATTAAATCTTTGAAATCGATACCATTTTGAATTTTGTTGGTTCGAAGTAAATTCCTCATGACTTTAGGACCCAGAAAGCCCATCAGTCCTTGTAAAAAAAAACTGTTTCCAGGTCTACGAAAGGCTAGTTCTCGGTTATTCCCCCCTCCCCCAGAACTGTCAAACTGTGGAACACGCTCTCTCATCCGTTTTGTCCTGCCACTTACGAATTTCATCTATTCAAAACATTATGACTGTCATTGCACAGCAAAATACAGTGAATCGAACTTTATTGATCGATAACGAACTGGCAATGCATGCAAGCAAGGCAAGTGAGAATGCGTAAGGAGGTTAAGGATTGGGCCTGTTTTGGGAGACACGGAAAGAAAAGGATCCCCTATGGTCAACACATGGGGTACACAGTACAACTGAGCATATACATTGTTTCAAGCATTCTGGTCTAATAAGAAATGACCATAGGATTGCCACTTCTGTCGGCTTGCTGCCGCCACTCTCCGTAAGTCTAACCGTACATTTACCTAGTCTTTTGGACCATAATCCGGAACATGACAACCACTCTACCTCATTGCTCCGTGCCTTATCTTCACGTCATCTGCTGACCTCCACGCGGTATCTCCAGNAGGCTCGGCGTGTTAAGCGACCGGTAGATATGCACAAAACGAGCTTATTGAGCTGGATTCAATGCGATAGCTGAGTTCTTGTTCGACGCATTGCCAAACACCAGACGACTTACTTCTAAGTTACTAACCCGACCATTTCATTTCACTTGGGCCAGACTATGTAAGCATCGATTGTCCAAAACCTCTGGGTGACGGATGTCTTCTAACCGCAAATGCAAAATCTCACAAGAGGAAAGCAGAACTGATCGTACAAAGGTGAAGTAACGCGGCATTTGAACTTCAGCGGAACGTCGCACCTACGCCCCAGGTGTTTGTGTCCTGCGTATGTTGCTCCAGTCGTGGAAATGAAGACGATTATCTTCTTTGATGCGCTACCGTTGTTGGTCACGCAACTAACCAAGTACGAGGACCTGTCAACTTCAGCTAATTCTTGAACATCTGGTTTCAGAACAGGAATCGGCGACACTCGGTCCTGCAGCATCACTTTGAAGATACAAAACGCATGTCAAATGGAGTTACAAAACTTGAAAGAGCGCTTTGCGCAACTTCTATACAAACGAGCAGATAAACGATGCCGTGAGTGTATTCGAAAATCGCTAAGCGATTCTCCATCAGCCCCTTTTATTATCAAAATTTTGGAGACCGCTTAGTGTGTTCTCCAGTTGATCGAAGAGGACTTGACGCAACGTAAATATCTGGTCGACACATAACACGGGTCAACAATCTGTACCTACACCCGATCTATCTTACCAGTATGACTTTGTAACATGGGTTATACACCCCCATTTCGACCGTACAAGCCTTCACTTATGTGTGATTAAAAAAATGAACAACAGAAACTTCAACTGTCAACATGCCTTATTTTGTATTGATAGACCATACAAATGAGAGCACAGTCAAAACAATTTCTTACAACAGAAGTGCCCTTAGGTTTGACATGCATCCAAACAACCCTAATGCAAGCCTGGAGATTAATGGGTGGTTTCTAAGCTTAACACGGGGACCGAGACACTGGTCAGAAGAAGACCGGATATTACAAACCGCCAATGCTTCCGGGTGTGGCAACTTGACAGTCATTTCTTTCGCTAATCTTTGAGTGCTAGTGATTGTATGATTACGCAATGATATCTAACATTCTCCCACGGAATGCAAGTGTGTGGTTCACTTCAAGTTGAAATAGCACGTGTTCGTCGCTCCCGTTGTGTACCGTACAGTCTAATCTCCGGTCGAAACCATAAACTAATTATATATATATGAAGAGAGAGAGAGAGTAAAGTAAGATCAAATCACGTGAGTTGGCGCAATTGTGGAATGAAACGGAAACCGCTCTCTCTCACACAATGGAGAAACAGGTCACGATTTTGTGCATGAATGATTGCGCTTACTTGTCTCTGTTTGACAAATAAACCCGGCCTTGTTCGAGCATGATACATCGGTCCATTGTCCGGCCGCTTGTACGGATGTGGTCATCAGCGCGCAACGCTTGTAAACAGACAGCAGATAAACGGTGAACGAATAAGACAAAGTGGACACAGCGATGAAAACATGCATTCAGCACACACATACAATACACTTCAATATCTGTCGCGATCGTACGAGTGATTCAGTAAAGCTGGGAAAGACATCGTTGCGGTTTGATACATATCGACGGTCCACGGACGGTCACCAATTTTCGTTTTCAGTTTATCCCACCATCAAATTTGCACTGTTATGCAGCGATTTGCGGATCGCCAACTTATGACTATCTATTCGAATGAACGGAAGGAAGAGCGAAGTGGGAAGCTGGGAGCAGCAAAGCGAAGAAACACAATGAAGCTGGACTAATTTTGCAAAGCAATTGAGCAGATTCACGAGCATTACTGACCACGTTGCTCAGTCGTGAATTGCCAATTGTTTCCAATCGTTGATTAGACTGCTTCACATGTCTTTCGATTAGGAAGCCTAATGTGACTTATATGTACGAGTTCGACCGGTCCGTATTTTCTTGACTCACATGTCACATCTTCGTTTGAACACCCCACCTCCACCCCCACTTCTCATTCTGACTCGGTTCTACCGATTCCCTCAAAAAAACATAGCGTGCAGAGGGAGCCTACTATCTGGTAGCATTTGTACCACAAGCCCCTGGTCGTAAATGTCATTAGGTTAGCAATTGAAGAGAACGAAGGTCCATTAAGCTATGAGCATATACAAGCTGACTTCGTTACAACATGGTGATGCGAATTTCACTCGGGTCCGTTCTGTGGGTCATATGGTCTGGATACGTATCAAAGGAGAATATACGACGGTACTCATCAAAATTGGTCTAATTTGCCACTTCTGTTCCATTTTGTGGTAGACAAAACATTGAACAATGACCACAGTACTTTTCTCAATGCAGAAGTGGATAAGATGCTTCATCGCTTTTGAGGGCCTACATTGAACCTTGTAAATCGATGGAAACGCGTTTACCACATCCCCGGGATGCGAACATATCACGCTCGTACATTGTCTCAATTGAATCTATCCTCAATCAAGTCGGGTGTTGTTCACGAACGCAATTCACAAAAGCAGGTGAATAAAAGTAGACACACGATGCACGACATTTG